TGAAGCAGAAGTAGATGTTTTTCTGGAATTTTCTTGCTTTTTCTATGATCCAACAGATGTTGGCAATTTGATCTCTGGTTCCTCTGCCTTTTCTAAATCCAGCTTCAATATCTAGAAGTTCTCAGTTCACATACCGTTGAAGTCTCTCTTGGAGAATTTTGAGCATTACTTTGCTAGCATATGAGATAGGTACCCTCTATATTTTTGCTTTAGCAACATCCAGTACAAAACCCAACACATACCATAAGTAGTTCCTGTTCTGAAAATCTGACAAAACCAATGTATTCTTCCTCCTGTGTGTGGTAAAGAGGGTTATATCCTCAGCTAGTGATTAAAATGTTATAATAGGGCTCAGATTTCCACACCGTAACCATGACATAAGGCAGCTAATTTCTCCCCAATTGTTCCCTGACCCACGTTATTTTCCAATATCTCATTATTAAAATTATTAGATTATTAGATCCATTATTAGATCCATTAAAATTATTAGATTATTAGATCCATTATTAGATCCATCCACATTTCACTGAATGTTTTGTCCTAAGATTAAGTTATGCAAACATTTCTCTTTGATCATAACACACACTTCAAACCTAATAGACATCTCATTAGAGGAACAGAAAGGCATATTTTAGAAAGACTAAGTACTAGTCACAGTCCACCAAAGTCTCTCTGAGGGGTGACCAATTTATTACATGTGAGACACTATTACTCTTTCTGGGTTTACTGATGATGGATGAAGTAAGAGACAGGTATCTGATCATTGTTTTGTAGAGCATGGAAATTCATGGCAAAAAGATGGTTGTGTTTATAGATAATTCATTACCACCTATGCTGTTAGACCACTGACCAGGTGAGATCAGAGTCTGGGCGACTTCACGGCCTGTGCCTCATTCCAACTCCAGTCTGACATATCTATGTGTGCACACAACACGTCAGGGTTCTTAAACAGGCAGTGACATTGGAATCAATGAACATACCCCATTAAACATAAACACTCTGCTGTTGTTATACACTCGGTCTTGTCCGATTTTTTGAGACCTGGTAGACTGTAGCCCGCCAGGCTCCTCTCTCCACAGGATTTCCCAGGCAAGAATACTGGAGTGGGTTGCCATTTCCTCTTCCAGGGGATCTTCCCGACCCAGGGATCGAACCTCCATCTCCTGCATTGGCAGGTGGATTCTTTACCACTGAGCCACCAGAGAAGCCCAAAAACATACACAAGCCCTCTATAATAACAAAAGCTTCAAATGAACACTGTTCAGTTCAACGTCAGTCACTCAGTCGTGTCCGACTCTTTGCAACCCCATGGACTGCAGCATGCCAGGCCTCCCTGTCCATCATCAACTCCCGGAGCTTACTCAAACTCATGTCCATTGAGTCGGTGATGCCATCCAACCATCTGTGGCAGGTGCTTTATAGCCGAATCACCCTTCACCCCCTCACCTTCCTCCTGTGAGTTTTCCTAGGGAAAAAAACCTGCCTGAGTCACCAAAGGTGAACTTAAAGTTCCCAGTGTCAGATTCAAGTGGTGCCAGGGGACAGCTGTGGACCTGGGACCGTGAGGGTCCCACCTTGCTCACACAGCTCAGGATTCTGTCCCCTAGGCTGACTGTCGGCCCCCTGCCTTACAGGGGCCCCCCTGCCCCCTTCACCTGCCGACTCTTACCACCCCCTACACTGGTTAACAGTCCCTCTCCTCCTTTCACAGGTTTTTCCAATGTGTGGATGCCATCCCACTACAGCCAGCTCATCCCGATGTCCAGTGCTAGCTGTCTCTCTGACCATCACACCTCTGAACAGCCATGGATGCTGGACACCCCCTGCCACAGTGCCCCCCACCCCTCCACACCCAGATCATCACTGGTAGAGGCTGTAATAGCCACCCTGGTCTGCTGGGGCTTCTGTAACAAAGCACCAGAGATGAGGTGGCTTAAAGTGTAGAAATTTATATTTTCTTTTCTCCCGGGTCTGGGGACAGTGTTGGGTTCTTCTGGGCCCCTCTCTTTGGTTTGTAGACTGTTCTGTGAATTCACAGGGTTGTCTGTGTCTGTGTCCTAGTCTCCTCTCTTAATGGGCACTCAGTCATACTGGACCAATGTCCCATCCTAACAATGACATTTGAACTTAGTCACCTCTTTAAAGACCTTATCTCCAAATACAGTCACATCCTGAGGTCCTGGGGGCTGGGACTTCAACACGTGCCTCAGCCTAGAACGGCCTGCTGGAGTTTCCCACAGGCTGTGGCACTTCACCCATCACCAACCACGAGGGCCACACAGCTGCCAACCAGGGGAAAGGTGCTCCAACTCTGAAACCCCAGCCCCAGGGCACCCTGTCCTTGGCCGGGCTCCCTGAAGAGCAGAAACTGAGACGCACAAGGCGACACTTGTGGGGCAGAAAGAAGATTTGGGCGTTACCTGTTCAATCCATCAATCTCATCAACACATCACGAGATCACTCAGACAGCTTGCCAGGTAAAGCGAGATTTCAAACACAAAGTGTATGCTAAGCACAAAGGCTTTCATTCCAGACATGAATTGATTGAATATCCTGAATTACATCCATTTTGATGTATCTTTATCCATAAATCTGGGCACTGCTATTGCTGAAACATAATGCACATAGTTTCTGACAAAAAAATTTCATATGCTATGGTCATGTTTTCACTGATCCTTTGACTAAGCTTACAAGAAATAGTTTCTTATTTAGAATTAAAACCAGAGAAGCCATGAGCTTTAGAGGCAGAAACATGAGATTCATTTTTAATTGACTCATAGTAATTATCAAAGAGCACAAATCAACCCAACATGTTGAAAACATTAGATTGTGCGTTCTTCCCTTGAAATAAATATTTTAA